GTTTTCTTTCCCATGCTAAAAAAGAGAAGAAATGTCAATGTGTCTTGTTGGAAGAGTTCCCAGAGATGGGTTTGTTCATTTTGAGGGGGGAAATGAGGACCTGAGTAAAAAGAGAATGGAGGGATCTGGTATACATCTGTTTTCTTCTTTTAAGGAGAATATCATGAAACCAGGCAAGTACTCTTCCCTATTAACACCCTTATTTTCTTATAAATTAGTTTATATGTTATCAAATGTAGTTTCATGATAATATCTTCAGGAAATGTCTATATACTAAGAAAGTGATCACAGTCACAATTTCCTGAGGTTTCACTACTCATTCAAGGGACTTAGAAGCATTACTGCATTTAGTATGCCATGATTCCTGAGGAAAACCCATTCATTTCCTTTTCATGAAACAAAACTTCACCCTTAGCAATATATTGAGCTTCCTCAGAAGAGGAAAGTCTGTGACTTCACCTCTTGAACTACAAACAAAGAAGCTTCCAGGTATAAAATATCAAAATGCTATGGTATGGTAAACAGTTGCAGTCTGAACCAGACATTCCTCTGAACCCAGTATGGAAAACCTCCGATCAAACGTTTTGACCAAAAATTGTCTGGTCACTGGTAAGGGACTGTAGAAAATGAAGGTTAAAACACTTGGATGCCAAAAGTACAAGTGCATTTGAAAATGACAGACAACTGACCAGATCCTCAAGTTTGGTTTGTGTGTGTGTGGTGTGTGTGGTGTGTGTCAGGAGTGAATTGAGAAACTGCAAATTGCTCTTGTGTGAGAAGGACGTTGCCCTGCAAATGCCAGGCTATTTTACCATTCTGTGGTAGTCTTCTCTCATGTCCCTGGATGAGAAGCTGAGGCTGACAAACGGGAGCTCACTTTGCTCCCCAGATTTGAACCGCCGACCTTTTGGTCAGCAGTCCTGCAGGCACAAGGATTTAATCCATTGCACCACCGGGGGTTCCTAGTTCCTCAAGTAATCTGGCAATATAATAACAATAACTTTATTTTTATATCCCGCCACCATCTCCTCAAAGGGACTTGGGGTGGCTTACACACGGCACAAGGTGCCTAAATACAGAACATAAAATAAACACAGCATAAAATACAATATGTAAACATATATGCATACAAAACACCAATCAAAACTCAATAAAACTGTGCTTATCTATTTTATTTTTCTTTTCTTTTTTTCTTTCTCTTTCTGTCTCTCTCTTCTCTCTTTATTCTTTCTCACAGTTCACTGTTTTTCTTTTTCTTTTCGGGGTTATATCGTCTATTCACACTTTACACTGATACTTACACATCTTAGTAGCTTCAGCTACATATCTCTTTTTAAAATGTAAACTGAAAATTCAATAAAGATTATATCTTTAAAAAAAAAACCTCAATAAAACTGTGCTTATCAACCAATGGTGGTAAGCTGCTGTAAACGTGGCCAGGCTGTAAACAATAGAACAAGGGAATTGGATAAGTGCAGAGTTGTAACAATGGACAGAGGGTATGGGATAAAGTGCATGACTGTTACACGGAACAACAAGGGACTTGGCATTCTCAAAAGTTTGTTTAAATAGCCACATCTTCAAGTCCCTACAAAAAGAGGACAGTATGGGGCCTGCCCGATCTCCCTGAGGAGGACGTTTCAAAGCTGGGTGGCCACCATCAAGAAGGCCCTCTCCCTCATCCCCACCAACCACGCTTGTGACAGTGGCGGGACTGAGAGGCGGGCCTCCCCGGCAGATCTTTGATCCCGTGCCGGTTCATGGGGGGGGGGGGGGGGGGTTGCAGTCAGAAATACCTCTTCACTATGTCATCACAAATGTTCTGTCTTTTGTAACCATCACTTTTTCTAGTATCAACTAATGATACCAAGCAGGGGGAAAATACAACCTTACCATATGAAGTTGCACCAGAAATTATGTAAACAGAAGCATGGTCAGGTTTCAATAGCAATCACCCATTTAGTAGGAGAAGCTAACTTGGTTTAAACCAATCTCTAAACGTAAGATATCTAGATCTCAGAAATACGCAATTAAAATTGGGTATTTGTCCGATACAGGTACAAGGACAGTCAGACACAGAATGAACAATTTCACAGAACTATTAGCCCTTATAAAAAAAAATACACTGGGACCAATCAAAGTTTCCCCTTTAATTAATGTCTTATTCAACACTGAACTGCATTATAATATCAAAACACAATATAGCAATACCAAGCCTGTAATCATTTTTGTTTTCTGTTGCCTGCTGGTATATTGCATCTAAAGAGGCACTAAAATTGATTAGAAAGGCTTGTTGAAGCCACAACGAAGACATTTCTTAATGGCCCTCTTCCAGCCATTGCTTAGTATCCAACGCACTCTCAAGCATGCTTGTATGGCATTAATGGTGCTTGAACAGCCTGAATTACACCCACAGTTCTTTTATTTTTCTGAAAATAATCTCAATTTCTTTCCCCAAAAGTACCCACAATGGTTTTATTATAATAATTTAAGGTAGCTCACCATGTTGTACATATGCTTAACTAAAGAGCTGTGTACGTGCCATTGCCTCATAAAGGCTTTCAAAGTATTATATAATATTACTCTTCTGGAAAGTAATATGACATGAAACATTCCATATCTTTATCTTCTTGCTTCCTAAGTTTTATTGTCTTCAGTATATCCAAAAATGAGCAGAAATGAATTTTTAATAATATTAAATTAAGTTCAAATTGTCACTAAAGAAGAAATTTGTGGAACGAAGTTTAAATTCAACACTCATTCTGATTTTAAAGTACAAATTATACAGAGAATGGTTTCTGCGGGTGATAATTAAATATACTTTGAGAACTATCCTATTAATCGAATTTATCATCTTTTTAATCAGCATTTCACAGGTGCAACAAATTAAAAAACAATAAAAGGCAACTGCTAGTGTGAAATCACAGACCTCCTCAGAAGATGGGCACCTATTCTGGCTGGAACCTTGTCACTGATTTATGGATGCGTAAATCACACTATGCATGCAGGTCAAATTATGTACCATGCTGTACCAGCTGTATTATGCTGAGCATGGAAGAAGCAGAGCTGGGAATACAGCAATGTTGTGTCGTGCAGTTTCACACAGTGCACTGCGTACTGTGGTTCTGCATTGTGCAATGTCATCCTGTTGTCAACGTGTGTGGTATTTTGCATAGGTCTTGCATAATGTCATGGCACACCTAAACATGTGGATATTTACACGGTTATAGGGAAATATTGCAGCCTATCTCTACCCCAAACAAGATTATGCACCTATCCTTTTTGCCTTTCTTAGGGGTAAAGGGATCTCAGATTGTATCACTAAAAGGTATTTTTGAAGAGTATTTTTACAGCTAGCTACCTTGAACAACTCATAGAAATATAGGTATCTGGCTCAAAAGCAACCCAAAATTGTGCTGCTGGAGATCCCAAACAAAGAAAATGGCAGCTGTTATTTACAAAGATACCACACTAGTACTTTCCTTAGAAGGCCAGAAACCACAACTTTTGGTGCTGTTTCTTCCTTATAATTATCTATAAGGCACAAGAAGGCCCTTTTGTAATTGAAACTACTGACTAAACTCTTGCCTTTCGCCTCTCTATGGAGATAGGAGAGGTGGTCCTTTTGGGAGGGAAGAGTTAAGGTATAGTACTTATATTGACCCATGGATACATTGACCCACGATTCTTAAGCAGATTCTTTGACTCATGTAGAAATTGAGAAATTTTAGTCAAAGAATCGGCTCAAGAAATGTTGGTCAACTTATCCATGGGTCAATATAAGTACTATACCTTAACTCTTTCCTCCCAAAAGTGTAATCCCCCTTATCTCCACAGAGAGGCAAAAGGCAAGAGCTTACTCTGTCCCAGGAGAACCTAAAGCAGGGATTCTCAACCTGTCTGTCCCCAGGTGTTTTGGCCTATAACCCCCAGAAATCCCAGTCAGTTTACCAGCTTTAAGATTTCTGGTAGTTGAAGGTCAAAGCATCTGGCAACCCACAGGTTGAGAACCACTGACCTAAAGAAAGGACCAGTCTTTTCTACACTTGGACCGGGCTGTGTCGCAGCTGGTTGGGAGTCAGCTGCATTAAAATTGCTATTGACCAAAAGGTCATGAGTTCGAAGCCTGCCCGGGTCAGAGTAAGCTCCTGACCATTGTCAATGAACCTTTGCTGCCCGAAAGACAGTTGGGCCTGTCAAGTAAGAAATTTAGTTACCGCTTTAAACAGGGAGGCTAATTTAATTAATTTATGAGGCCAAAAAAATCTCCAGCAGCGTGCAAAAGAATGGGGAAGTATTCCATCGGTGTCACAAGTGGACAGTGAAGCAACAGCTCCCCTGGTGGCCGGAATTCAAGCATAGCCCCATGAAGCTGGATGTTAAATAGCCTCTGTGTGTCTGTCTATATATGTTGTGTGTCTATGGCATTGAATGTTTGCCATGTATATGTGCATTGTAATCCGCCCTGAGTCCCCTGCAGGGTGAGAAGGACAGAATATAAATACTGTAAATGAATAAATAAACAAATAAATAATACACTCTCTGCTCCACAGCTGCTTCAGATCTTATTTGAATGCTTAAGCAGGGTCAACTTTTCCATACATCATATCATTATATCAAATCCCTAGTTCTGTGTCTATTTTATAGGTCAATTTATACATGGGCGTATTAATTTCAATAATAAATGTAGATGCTATCCAGGCTATACATCACCGTAACAAATTTGTTCATATAGCATTTCACAGGTTGATACAATTCTTTAATTTAGGGACTACAGCTAAAAGAATGGGGCATTCCAGGAAGTTTTCTTTTATAGTATGTGGAAATCTAGAAACATGAAATGAACAATAAAAGCTCAAATGCTTGAATATATATTTTGAAAAGCTCTATTTGGGAATGTTATGAATTTCTCAACAAAGAGGCTATCACATCCAGCATGCGCTTTCCTTTCCAAGGAAGCCATAACATAAAATAATTGGTCACCTTTTGGAGACACTCACCTTGCCTTTTTGATTTATGGGTTCAATAGTTAAGCTGTCAGGTCCAATATCAACAATGGTTCCCATCTGAAACCCATCAGTTGGGTGTGGAGCCCAAACCGGCTTCCCGTCCTCCATTTTGAGGAGTTATTTCCTGCAGAAAGAAGAAAGGTACATTTGTTACACCAAAACACGTGTCTCTACTGAAATTTCACTATGTAATTCCAAAGACTCAATTGAGCATTGTCTCCAGATGGTAGCAGATACAGTATACCTTTAAATTAGATTAAATGCAAGAACAGTCTAGTTAAAGGAAAAGAGCAAGAAATGCATCCATGTGTATGAAAGATAAATCCAATACAACTGTCATAGCAAAGATACTGGAGCCCCTGGTGGCACAAGGGATTAAACCCTTGTGTTGGCAAGACTGCCCAAAAGGTTAGCAGTTAGAATCCAGGGAGTGGGGTGAGCTCCCATCTGTCAGCTCAAGCTTCTCATGCAGGGACTTGAGAGAAGCCTCCCACATGATGTTAGAGCATCCAGGACCCCCCTTGGCAACATCATTGCAGAGAGCCAATTCTCTCACACCAGAAGTGACTTTCAGTTTCTCAAGTTGCTCCTCACATGAACAAAAAAGCAAAGTACTTCTAGCATCACACTGGATATGGGCAAAAGATTTGGAAGAAAGATTCCTGTATTTAGCATTTCTAGGCCCATATTTTGAAACTGCTTCCTTATTGGACATTTTTAATGAAAATAACTGAGGCATGATTAATATTTCTCGTTGTACAATATTTCATTATGTATAAAAATATGGAATAACAGAGCGTAACATTAATAATGCATTTACATTTAGAACCCTATTTGTTCATTCATAGCCAGGCTGTTAATTTTAAAGCTTTTTGCAGTAAGGTTCCGCTCATAATTAAATATACAAGACTCTTCTATTAACAATTAGATTTAATTTTGCACTACTGTACAGCCTTGGAACATTTCTTAGAGAAAACCTAGACAACGTAACCCACCCACCTTGAGTAATGCATTTTTGCTTCCATTCCTAATGAATCATAGAATCATAATGTGTCAGCAATTGTTTATTCTCCCCCACCGCCTCTTTATATCCTGCTTTTTTCCCAATTTATTAAAATGGGAAAATTCGCAGTATTAAAATAATTTAAATGCACACATAAACACAATTCTGTGTACAACAATTTAAGGCATTTGCTTGATTTTTAAAAAAACAAACTTTGTTTTAAAACCTATTTTGGGGGGGGGGGGTTGTGCCTGCCAATGGAAGAACGTTGAAAAAGCAGCAACCCTCGCCTTCTATGCAAGGGAGTTTTGCAGCAGTGGTTCCCAACCTTTTAACTCACAACCCCATTTTATAGAGGCACAATGACCTAAGACCACAATACATTAAAATTAGAGGTGTTGATGCTCCTACAACGATGACTATGGTGCCTGGACCTTACTGATTGTTTTTGACTGGCTGATCGGCTGGCCAAAAAAGGAAAATAATGCAATGTGCTGTGTGTCAGATTCCTAGAAGTGGGATCATTTGATTTGTGCCGACATTTGATTATACTTCACAGTATTTGCCGATAAAAACATTGCTACCTGCAAGAAACAAGGCTAGGCACCCAGCGCACATGTATCACTAAGAATCAACCAATAACAAGCCAAGCAGTGCCCACATTCCAAAGAGCCAATCACCGAACTGCACATGAAGCTGGAACTCACAAGAATCTAACCTGATGAACAAAAGATCATTACAGGTTTACACAAACAAATCTCTGTGCAGGACACAATGATGCAATTTTTGTTTTTATTTTCCTTTTTAAAAATTTGCATAGCTCACCACAGAAAGCCCTTTATGACTGACCCATGGGTTGGGAAACATTTGTTTCCATACATTGAACTAAAACTTGTGACGAGGAAGTCTAGACAGACTGTTTATTGTTACAATAACATATACCTGTCACAAACACAGTAGATGTGGATGCAAGGTAGGGTCTTTTTAATCACTGCCCCTAACTCTAAAACAGTGGATACAGTCCTACCTGGATTGTATCCAAAGTGCTTTATTTACTTGAAAACTTCTTTAATCATAGAACTCAATGGGGTCTGTTTCTCATTCAGCTACACAAATCTGCCACTGTTTTGACTGCTATGTTTGCTCAGTATCAATTTCTCTTCCAGAATATAACACACACTAAAATGCACACATAAGTAGATCCAGACTTCCAACAAATAAGCCCAAAACATGGAAAAATAATGTTTTTGGACATCAACTTCCAGAAAGGTTCTCTTAGCTCCCATGAACAGTTGCCATGCTACCATGGGAGAGAATTTTGGGAGCTGTAGTCCAAATTTTCCAAGTACTGGAGTAGATCATAATGTAAATAGGCACACCAGCCTTGTTCCATGCTTTCAAGTTAATTCCAACTTACAATAATACTATCATAGGATTTTCCTGGCATGATTTATTCAGGGGTCTGCTACTGCAGAATGTATCTAGTATCCTCTCTTGCCATGATTCAAAACAAGTATCAAAGCCAAGAATTTTAGCTAATTTTAGCTATTATGTATGAATGAGAAATCCTATTTTAAGTCAATTTTCAATTTTTAAGCAAACCTGCAAAAGAAACTTGAGTTTGCTGGTAGCTTATTTTAAAAACTGACTACAGGGTCATAGAATTTAAGATTCCTAATTTAATACAATGACAATCCAAGAAGTGGAACTCAATGTAGATTTTTCTAGTTGCAGGACAGGAAAAGTTTAGGAAGGGTTTCATGTGAGCTTGAGGATTTGCATAAGCATCCTTTTTTGCTTTGGGAGATGGAAGTAAAGCATGGCTAAGTGTTATTTGCAAATGTGGCCAGTGTCCCTTAAAATGTGTTTTGATTTATCCCCTGACAGTGTACTATCACACATAAAACTTGTTGATTTAGCTCAAATCAATATGATCTTAAAATCATACAGAATCCCACACTTGGTGTTTTCCTGCTGGGTAGGGAATTTAACTGAGATAGATGTTCTTATGGAGCAATGAGCCTTTCCACTGGAGAAATGGAAAGAGATTTTTCTTAGAGAAAAGACATACTGTCAAATAGCAAAGACATTATCCTGGGAAGAAAAACAACCTATATCCAGCAAGGTTAACTGACAGATCTCTTCATCTAAATTAAACAATTTAAGCAATTCAGATGTTGGACTAAATACTCCTTTGAAGTATAGGTCCCAGCATCTCTCTGGCAACATGGCCACTGGTCATGCTGGGTGGGAAAGTCTGTGAGTTGTAGTCCAAAGAAGAAACATTCCCCACTTTTAAATTTTTTAGTATTCTGGTATGTCCCACATCAGAATGTTTCAAATTTGGCATCAAGATACCATAGACCAGTCCAATTTCAACAATGGAGAAATTGCAAAATAAACAATTCATCCTTCCTACTACCCTAAAATCCCATTTGGATTAGATGGTTGATTTCTACCCAATCATTAGTAAGTCCTGTTGATGAAAAGATGCAGCATAAAATATCCATATCAAAATAACTGAGAGAATCAGACTTAATGCAAGCCAGACACAAAGAATAAAGCTTACATTGTGGGTGACCCTTCATGCAGAGATTTAACATTGATATCTCTTTGTTTCTTGAACCCTTGGACTTTCGGTTGCTGTAAAATCATTACGTCATGAGAAATTCTAGTATCTCAGACTTACTCAGACTTGTATGCATGGCATAACAGGGATTGCACGGAGAATGAGTGCTTAAATGGCCCTGAAGACTAGGTTAGGAGGAACTGACCCCTTCCCCAAAACTGATCTGGCAAAATTGGACCACTGAGATTCCTGTGTAGTTGAGCTTTTCTGTAAATTACTTATCAGAATGTACTACATTATAAGGCACTAAAAATATTAGGACAGCTGTTGGCACTGAATCCTCCTAGGACTAATAAATACTCCCTGCAAACTTTCCCAGGCACATTTACCTGGGAATTGATAACCAACTCCAAAATAATGAGTCTAGACACTTGAAGTTGGATTAAATAAAGATTACTTTATTTGCCACAGAAACTATTTAAGATTTAACCTATAAAATATTAAAGAGGGGGAGCAACATGGTGCAGCTCTTAGCTGGGGTACCTGTGACATCCTCCCTAATCTTCACTTGGGTGAAAACACTTGACCAAGTCTTATGGGTTACCCACCCTAGCCAGTCTTATTTTGGAAAGTAGACTTAGGAATAGCTCCCATTAAGCTCTAGAATTCAAAAAGGGAGAGGAAGCCCCCATATCAGCCCCAAGCAAAGGTTCCTTCCAAAATCCCAGCCCCCAGAACCCAAAGATGATTTTCCAGAGCTCAGCCCTTCACCCAAACAATGCCATGATATACAGCCACTTCTGCTACTCTTTCCCAAAATCTAACACAAAACACAAAACCTGTGTAAGCCAGACTTATATAGCCTCCGGCTTCACCCTTGAGACATTGGTGCACATGCACCAGACCAATTAAACTGGCTTCTATTCCTCGCCTTCCTTTCCTATCTATGGCTGTGTCATCTTGAGTTTGAATAAGCTACACTGAACAAATGGAAGGCACTTCTAAGTATATGTTGTGTATGTAGAAGTTTTCACCTTTAAGGAACTCTGTGTAATAATGGATGAGCAAAGCCACATGTTAATCTCCCTTCATGATTAACTATGGTGGTTAAGGATGTAAGACATTGTGGCCCAAAACAATCCGGAGAGAAGCAGGGAGAGATAGGTTAGACAAAGTGAGCACTTGAAAATTATGTACTTTTGTAATGTTTGAGTTTACAGTAAACATTGTCTAGACATTTCTTTGTCAAACTTGTGTCCCTCCAGATGTTTAAATTTTGCAGGTTTGATTATTCATACATTTGACTATTACGTTATTTCTAGGAATTTCTAGGTTCTCCAAGGTGAAATCCACCAGAAGTTACCACAGTCATTCTGGAGAACCTAGAGTTTTCCAAACAAAACTTTCCCTCACTTTGAGGCTGTTTCCATGACAGAGCAGGTGACTCTTACAAGGTCCATTTTAAAATAATACCACATATTCTTCTTGGATAATGAAGCCAACTTCAAGTGTTTCCCTTTAGCTTACCAAGAGGAAATTAAATGTGAGTTTT